CCACTGTCAGAGTATACAGAGCACAGGACATCCATTTACATTGAAGATTTGACTGTTAACACAAAAACAATGCCCTAGCACAGAAAAATCTGCAGCAAAAAAGTCCAGATTCATGTGCATAAATCTATGCTCATGATAAAGTTAATAACAAAACTACAGTGTCATTTCCTGTGTGCTTGAAAAGCTTTTCATTGTCTTATGCTTTAAGGATAGAGGACAGTAGAGGACTGACATGTTTGATTTGATACGCAAGACAACTGCTGAATTCTGTCCATAATAAATATAAGAAACATGATTCTGGCCCAGTGTTTAAGATGTAGCTTTTCACAAAGAGCTGAGCATCACAAAGATGTGTCACTCTTGACGCTGCACCAGTGCAGCTGCAAAGCCTCTTCAAGGTCATGATGAGCAGCTGTGCTTTCGCCTACTCTGATCTACAAATCAAATAATTTTCTGTGTTCATGAATTCAAAAGATTAGGTTTAGACAACTCTTAAGCCTGGAATATTCACGATGTGCTCTAGCACATTACTAAAGGTTATTTTAAACTGTGGAAAAAATGTATTTTCAAAGTATGTCATACAGGTACTATGAGAAGGAGTCACTCTCAAAGAACTAGGTTGATCTATAATGTATTCTCTCAATAAATACTGAACAATAAAATACTTATTTGAACCATCATTATACTGTTTTCATTTTTTTATACAGTGCTTAGCATAATTCAGCCATGCTACGTGAATAAGGAGAGTGTTCATTTTTACTGCAGCTCTAATAATAACCTGCTCTGGACCAAGATTATATTCTACGCTGAGGAGATATTGCCATGAGTACCATTCTGAAGAGGTTTCGTAGCTCCTAGAGGCTTTTCTACCCAGGAAAGCCTTACGTTTTTCTGGTGTCATTTAGTGGAACTTCAGGCACAACAAGAATTCAGTTACAGATACTTACGTGGCTAATGTCTTCAATAATCAACTCCATTTCTTCAAGGAACTATTTATATGTTTAAGCATTTGAAAGTTGTCCACGGGCTTTTGTAATTTGTGATGTTTTATTGGAACGGATACTCAGATTCTTGCCATTAATAGGTGTGAATCTATGCTGGGAAAAATATTGGGAGTCCCAAGCAGCAGTACTTACTTTCTCTTTATTTATTATCAGAAATGAGTGGCAAGGGTAAAAGCAATGTGAGCATTTTTAGTTTATGCCGGTGTACCTCAGTTTTAATTTGGAGGGACAGTTCACACAGCCATTTAATCCTTACTGCCTTTACTCCTGGTGCCAGCTCAAGTTCCTATTACTGCTAATTGTTGTGGTGGATTTTGTGTTGGCACAAATCCATTTGGAACAGCTCTAATTATGAACATCTACAGTGGAAGGACACTGCCTTTTATGTGTGACACATATGTTAGGTAAATAAAGACTCCCCCGCTTGCTATTGCTAAGCTAGGTTCTGCAAATTTTTCACAGTATGAAAAATGTGAAGAAAATCATTCTTCCACCTGCCAAAAACTAAGAAGCATATGGCCAAGTCACATAGAATTAGATGAAATGTTAGCTATGGGGGGAAGACTTAGTACCACCAAAAATGTAGTTTTACTCAGATGTATTTTCTCAAAATAACCCTAGAAAAAAAAACAACCCACCATCTACATAGTAATGTTGCATAACACAGATGGCTGTGTTTTTCTGAAAATGAAAAATGGTGAATTAATGGTGATTAAGAATCCAGTGTATAATAAAGCTGGGCTAAGAGGTAGTCCAAGGAATGTAGGATAATACTTGAAATATGCTGAGATTGGTGAACTGGTAACTTTATTCAGGGTCAGTGTAAGCTTAACTGCATGTGCTTCACAGAGACCTCACTGAACCTATATTTGCAGTCAAAGGTCTTTGCATTTCAGGACTGTCATTTAATTTCCATTTTACTTTATCATATCTAGGGTTATAATGGACAGTATTATTCCCTCTTTAAAGAATTCCATTCCATTAAAGAATTCATCTAAACTCCAGTACTACTGAAGTTAGTATTTCTAAATTTCTAAAAATTGAAATTGGAAATGTTTTTAACTGTCCTTGTGCCTTATGACATGGGCATTGAATTTAGAAACACAAGATAAAAAAAAAGGAATATATTTAGATCACAACAATTAAAAAATTAAATGACAGGTATTTAGATTACAACAGTTTGTTTGATACTACAGGAGTAGCTATAAGAGTAGCTATACTTCTGCCAATCAAGGATGCAAAAAGCATGAAATTACAGAAATGCATCTCCACTAGAATGCACAGAAATGTCCAACACCACCCCAATATACAGGAGTTCCACTTTAAGTTCACTACAGGCCTGCTCTGGAGTTTATTGAGGACTGTGCACCCATGTTGCTCCGTAAAAGAGTGAACATAACTTTCTTTGGGTATCAGTTGGGTGGTGAGCAACTTTCTCACATTTTTTTTCAGCTCTTTTCTCAGTATCTCAGTTGTAGGGCTCCCCTTTGTCACAAGCTTTTCATGTCAGCTTCTGTTTTATCTTTCCAGCCTCCATGGTTACACATTGTCACCCTTACAGCAGTGGCTCTGTGCTGGGAACGGGACAGTGACACTCTCCTCCTGCTACATGACTTACTGAAAAACATTAGCTGTCAACACTTGTAACATGAACCTGGTCCCTCCGCTCATTGCTCTACATAATATAGTCCAGATAAAAATGTCAGATTTTGCTGCACATAAGTCCCTGATTAAGACAGCGTGGCAAATTAAATTACTCTCTCCTTTAATGTCAGGGTTACCATCGCATGTGCAAGGCAAAAGAGAATGGAGGATTTGCAGCTGACTGGTTCATGGAAAAAAAAAATAAAAGGGATTTGATAAAACTTACGCAGCCCGACAGCCACATCTTGCCTGAAAGTCTGACACATGAGATCCAAAAGAGAGCAAGATAGGTGCTTTCTATGTTTCCATGACTTTCAAAGCCACTAATGAAAACATTTTATTCAACAAATCAACGTTTCTGCGCATGGTTTACAACTCACAGCCTGCAACATTATAGCAGTCCATTAAATTCACGAAGGAAAAACTGGTTACATAAAGAAAAAATCCCACAAATACTGGTTTTGTCAATAAATCAGGGCAAAAATGACCCAGCTACAGACTCTGCATGTTGCTGAGGCAGTTGGGTCTCCAAGGCACTAGTACAGCCGTTCCTGTGTCCTGCCTGCCTGATTTTGCGGTTGGCCCAGTGTGCAGCAGAGCTACCCCAGGCTGCTCCCTCCAGCTCCCTGGATTCCCACGCAGAGCTTTGGGAGCCCACGACCAGGCAGCGGCAGCAGCGAAGAGCCCCGAGCCAGGCGTGCTGCATCCCTTACCCCGCGACACCGGCCAGGCAGCACGAAAGCTGAGCTCACTGCGTAAGCTTGTTAGAGAACTGCTTAGTTCCAGTGGTGTACTTGAAATTTCAGGAACAGAGTGTTTAACATGTCCTACATCACTTCATTCCCAGCCACTACCTGCAAAGTTGGGTTTCTTTCTTTTTTCTCTTACGTAGTAACTCAAAACATAGTACTAAAAATCAGAGGGAGAGTACAGAAGTGAAAAAAAAGACTAAATCCTTGAAAACAAAGACTTAGGAAGAAAATATGCAACAATGTACTTTTAATTACTTCAGAGATGTCATTAGAGGAATGTCCTGCTCATGTTATTTGCTAAAATCACCTTCAAATCCAAATATGCTAGGAGCTTTGCAATGAACAA